TTAAAAAACATGCTACTATATTTTCATAATTAAGATAAATATCTTTATTAAAATTTTCTTAAGTGATACATATTAATATAAATTAAACAATGTTTTCTTTGTCATCACCAAAAGCACTATTAACCGAGAGCGTTTTATTTTTGGCAAGTTATCGTTATCCTCTGAGCATTTTTCTGCATTATTTTCAGATTCATGCTTTACCTTTTGCAAAAAGTATGTAATTTTAGATTGCTTGCTTCTAGTTAAAAGATCTTTATAAATTTCCTTATATGATGCCAAGCACTTATGGAATAAGGGAAAAGCATCTGGCAACACCAGAAGCAGAAGCGTTGAGATCTGGCAAAATTGAAACAATTTTCGCGAAAGACCATGTGTATGGAGGCGAGAAAAGAAAATTTACATACTGAAGTACTAATAGTTCACGAAAATTATTATTTTCATGAACTATTAGTACTTAAATGTGTAAGAATTTATTACATTTCATGTTGTACGAGGATTTTACCTATTTCTCGAACCATGCCAGAGTGAATCCGTGCTATAAAAGTACCGTGTTAAACGGGGGATGGTACCAATTCTCGAACCGTGTTAGAGTGAATCCGTGCTACAGAAGTGCCGTGTTATACGGGGGTTACCTGTATATATATGCTTATTAATATATATATTATTAATATATATAATTGCATATTAATATATATATATATTAATATGCAATGGAAATTGAATTTATTGTTTCAATATACTGAGTTAACTGGGTTTAAAATAAATTTCAATAAAACTAAAATTACAATATTTGTTAATGGCAAGAGATTAAGGAAGAAAGATAAATTCTATGTAAGAAATATTTCAATGCAGATTGTGAAACAAATTACTTATATGGAGATTAAGTGAAAAAGAGTCTTCTAGTTAGGCTAAATGAGGCATAAGAATAGTACGCTCTAAAAAAAATCCCTATTTGAATCTACATACATAATTAAGTAATACATTAATTGAATCAATGTTGCAATATAGAGTACTGTTATGGAACAAACTGCAATTTAAAAGTTTAAAACATTTGCACATATTATAAAAAGTTATTTGGTCGGGATTGATCTGTACCATATCAAATGATGAATCTGAAATTAATTTTTTTGACATTCAAGTAAAAACATTAAAATCTACTCTGAAATTTATTAATAAGATTTTTGTCAATCTATTATTATTGGAATATAATTCTTACATAATATTAAAAGGAATGAAAGGATAGGAAAAATAACTGTTAAAATGAGTTAAATAAAATTATAAATTTAGAAGGCTATTCTTTGAAGGTTTTTGAAACAAATGTAGTTAATATAGATGTGAATCTTATACTGATGTTGGTTATTTTCGAGATTATAGAGATGAGGCTAAAAAATTAACTAACTCAAAATTTCACTCTTGGTACTATTAACTATTAATTATTAACAACCCTCCAACTATTTATAATAAGAATGTTAATTTTAATTTGAAGACATGTTTCATGCAAGTTCATCTAAATAAATTTTTTATATCATGAAATAATGTTGGTATTTCCTTTACAAAACTGGATTTATATTTGTTGTGTAAATTGGAAAAAATTTAATCTCGTATTAGTTTTTTGATTGTAAAGGTTTACTAGACCTAACGGAAGACTTCAAAATTTTTTGTCTAATAACTCTTTGGAAAATTGTTGTTTGATTACTGTTTAATAATGACTGTTTTGATGTATTAACTTGATGGAAGAATGAAATGGACTATTATTAGTAAATACATTTTTAATTCCTGCTATTTGATAGTAATAATGACAGTGAAAGCATGCTAATGTTTATTATTAATAATAGTTTTAAATTATGAAATACAGTTAAAAGAAATTTGACATATTGCATTCTTAATACAACTTAAATAAAATTTCAAATTAAGATCATCATATGTATCTGTTAATAAGAAAAAAAGTCATATTTTGTAAAATTATATATTTATCTTGTTTTTTTAAAATGCTACACATAATTTTTTCAGTTATCATCATTTAATATCAACTTCAAAAGTGTATCAATTACTATTACTTCTGAAATCATTTATTTTATGTTTTCAACTTACTTTATTTACATTTAAAAATAAATTCTTATTTGGTTTCTGTTCCATTTGTTCTGAAAAGCCACCTACGTTTTCTTTAGATTTTATATTCATATAATTGATAAATATCTTTTAATTTGGAAATGACTATCATTTTCCGCCTATAGAAATTTATTAAAATAAAAATAGTACTTATTTTATGTTAAATCATTTGAATAAGAATGGTTCATTATCTAGTAAACTACTTGGATCATTAAATAAGTAGGCAAGGAACACAGTTCAACAATATAATATAAGGAACAGATTTTCATATTAATGTTATGTAATTATCACAAGCATGAATCATTAAATGGAATAGTTCAATCTATTATTTTTTTTGTTTTTGGATTGACATCATGTAACTATTTTTATGAAAATTAATACAAATTTCTTTAATAATGTTATCATATCATATAATTGATTCTTTATACATTATTTTAAAAATGAAAGTCTTCCGTCGTAATAATAATTTTGTAATGTTGTTTCTTATGTTACATTTCTATTCTTTTAATCACTTATATTATTTTATTCATGTTAATTACTATTTTATTTCATTCTTTAAGTTATTTCTTAAATAATATTTAGATCATATCAGAGTCCCTAGTTCATATAGATTACAATTAAAATGCAATTTCATGTGTAATTTTAAATTTATTAAATTCATTTTATCTTAATTTTTAATAGAATGAAGAGAATGATTCTATTAAGATAATGCAAATAAATAGTCAATACAGTTAAGGAATAAATCTAATTAAATTAAGAGATTATTTGGCTCGAATATAAGGCATAAATTCAAAGAAATCACTTCATATACATTCAAAATAGATGCATTTTTTCCTACTTGAATCTTGAATTTTAATTTATATATTTAAAGTCTAATCAATATTTGCATTTGATATATTAATTACTTGATTATGTCTATAAATAATACATTTAGTACAGTTACATGCTTTAACATTTCACACACACAAAACAATATAAAATAAAAAAATTATTTTTGAAAAATTAAAAGTTAATTTTTTAAAATAATTCACATTATTTTGTACTAAAAATATTAAAAATTTATCTGCTAGTTAATAACTTCAAATTTTTCCATCCAAAATTTTCTTTTAATTAAAGAATGTTGATTAAATTGCATTTAAACTTTTGAAATTTTAAGCTATTTTAAAACAACATTTTAATTCCAGTTATGTAAATGCTATTAGACATTTTAGTGATGCAATTTGAATATGATATTCTGAAAATGAAGTGTTTGTCTCCTTGTTTATAAATTCAAGTTTAAATTATGAATTTAATCCTATTTTTCAGATAATCTTGATTTTATTCAATAAATAGATTTAAAAACATTATAAAAAAGCTTTTTTTAATTGTTTTATGATAACTAAATACAGACATCCCTTGCTTGATGTCAGTAATCCATTTCTGAAACTCATATGTTCTGCAAGGAAACATTAGCAGGAGCCTATTTCCAATTATTTTAATTGGAAAAAATTCTAATAATTTTCATGTCACCCCAAAACAATTTTCAAACTTGTAACAAACATAATATAAAGCCTATACACAAATGACAAGTTATCATATTCAAATTTAAAATGCCTAAAATATTGCTTTCTAAATAATTACTGCACCTTTAACAGTGGGATTTTAAAATAACACCAACGTTTGAACTCAGTAATTGATCAGCATTCCACTTTTGACTTTCAATATCTGAGGATGACCTATTAACCAGGTTAAAATTGTTAGCATTCTTCTAAAATCCCATTGTTAAATATGTTGTAATTAGTCTAGTAAATTATCACAGTCACTAGTATATCATTTTCAATACTGCTTTCTGATCAACAAACAGTTAATATGGTTAACTCTTAACTTCATTCTGATGACATAATTCTGGTGCAGGGACATACTCCCTTTTGTTCTCAGATACAGGTGGATGTTGATCCATATGGAGTAGAGGGACAATATTTTTGTACCAACAAATTGTCTTCCCTCCCAACATATGTTTATTTTACACAATACTAAAAAAATTAAAATTAGAAACAAGTATTATACACAACAAATACCTATTATTTTGTATATCCATTCATAATCTGATAATGAAAAACTTTTCTTACCCATAGTCATTGGCCAATCCCTCCATATTTACACAGATAGCCTAATGCAGATACAATTGATTTAATTCATTTTTACAGTACTTTAACTTCCAAAGCAAGTTAAAAGTGTCAATTGCAAAGTTGCACTTTCTTGTTTATATTTCTATTTATGAAATTTTTATTTTATGTTATTTGATAAATTTTATAAACAAACCAATCCATTGTTGTTTAATTATAATAATAATAATTGTTTTTTGATTAATTTTAACATCCTACACACATACACACAACTTTTTTCCACTAAATATGAAAGTTACATCTGTTATGACACTTTTCATTTATGGGCTTGATGTTATATTTCTTATTATGAAAATATAAATAAAAATTTAGAGTAGATATTATAAACACCAGATACAATAAAGTTTTTCAATTTGTGTTTGAAAATAATATTTGTTTTATTATATATATACAATTTTCTCATTTCCTGTATCAGATAAATGAGTTTTTTTATATCATTTTGTTTCTTACAATGAATTCTATCTATGTTTCTTAGATTTATTTTATTCACTGCCACAAAAGTAAAAATTTCAATTCATGCTATCGTGTTACTTTAATTCAGAAACTATGCTCAATGTAAACAAAATTTTGTTAAATAAAGTAATTGTATTCCAGCTAAAATTTACTAATTTTTTTTCAAATTATTGCTAGAGATTTACTTTTATACTAACCAATATTAAAAAAGCAAAAATAAAATACTGTAATATTAAATAATAATTCTCAATTATCTGAACAAAGTCTCAATTATTGACTGTCTAGATAGGGTTTCTAATTATGCAATTACATCCACTTTATCTCTAACATCCAATACTGTACAATAGAATATTAAAAACAAACCAGCAAGTTGGTTAGAATTTGAAACTATGTTATAGAAAAAGTATCATTGGATAATGATTGCTAATCCAGTAGCAGCCAGTAGAGTATTTAATTATTTGAAATAAACAATAAGAACTAATTAATTAATTAAGAATAATAGAAAAACTTTCAATATAAAACTATATATAAAAACAATTTAAAATTATTTCTATTATATATTAATACAATGATAAGAAATGAAATAAAATTAATAATATACAAATAGGAGCAATTTTGTTATAACAACAGGTAAAAGCAATTACAATGGCTTACAGCATTATTCTAAGGTGTATTTGCCAAAAGCCACTGATCATTTCCTGCAAATTAAGTGTTAACAAATAGAAAATATAAAAAAAACCTCATATGTTAATTAACATTCCCAGAAAATATTATCTATAAACTATGATTATTAAAAACTCATGTTTAATCTAAATCAGTTCTTCACAAAATACAATATCTTTTAATATTTAAAAACACTACTTACTCTTTTCCATCTCCAACTTTACTGGAGTCTAAATAACTAAATGTGGGAGAAATTAGTGTTGAATTATCATCTATGGTGGTGAATGTATTTGTTGGATAATCTTTTAGAGAAGATTCTGTTCTTAAATCAGAAAATTCACTGGGTGACACTACCAGATCATAAGTGTTTCGGCTAGTATTATTTAAAAGAGGTCGATCCCAATCAGTAAATTTCGGTTCATTTTGTTTTCCTAAAGCTGATTTCCTAGCTTCTTCATTCCTTCGTTTCTCTTCTTCTAAAAGTAACCGTTCTCTCTCTCTTTCTTCTTCCTCCTCCTCTTTCTTCTACAGAACAAAGCAAACCAATTTTTAATCCATAAGTTAATGATACAACTCTTAAAACTGTAAAATTTACAAAAAGATATAAATATAACATATATAACTAACAGATAAGTTCTCGATGAATTAAACATTTTATCGAATTTTTAAATAATATTTTAAACTCTGACCTGTTTAAGCTTATTTTGTATAATTTTAACTTTGAGAATACCTGTATTTATTTTTGTATCACTACAATAGCTACATTGCCTATATTATCCAAGTAATTTATAATGTGCACGGGTGCCTATGTGTATAAGAAAAGCTAATACATTTCTAATAAACAAATTTAGCAGTAAATTATACATTAAGGCTATTTAATTGTAATAAAAACAATTAGTTCATATATTTGAAAAATAAACTATCATAATAAAATAAATAAATAATCACCTTTTCTTTAAGCCATTCTTCATATTCTCGAGAATATTTTTCTAATAATTTTGATTTTAATTTTTCAGCAATAGTAAATATTTCCTTTAATTTCTGTTCTTAGGGGAAAAAACACACAAGTCATAAATTAGAAATTTATATTTCTAAACTTTTTATATACGCTTTTTATATATTTATTATTTACAATTAAATTATAAATTTAAAAAATACCTTAAAAATTGTAATCTATTAAGCATATAAATGCAAGTTACTCCAAAAATGCCTAAATCATTTGAATAATTTATAAAATTATATACAATAAAGAGGAAAAATTCTTAATGTTTTAATTTCCAATTTAGAAATAAAATTATTCAACTTAGTCAAATAATAAATTAAAAGTTAAATTTTATAATAGCATTTGAAATAATAAAGAACTTTTTAATTTTCTTAACAATCCATGTGAAATTGGGAATTGTAAAGATAATTACGGTAAATATGAAACTACATATTTAAATTACATAGCAGTTTTCAAAAAGAAAAAAAAAAATCAACAATATATTAAGTATTCTTTAAATTTTATGTTCAAAGAAATGAAAATTATTCATAAATTCATAACCTTTCTTGATTTTTATTATTAAACATAATTAAAATTTAAAAAAGATAATTGTTTTTATATAATAGTGCCATAAGATGAATTGTACAAGTGCACGTATCAATTAATTATCATTACAAAGTAGCTAATATATTAATTTAATATGTAAATACTGTGAACTAAAAATTACTAAATGCATTTGATTTATTTGTAAGATAATTAATGTCAACACAGAGATGATATAATGAGCATTTTTAATTCAAATTATTGTGACCAATTATCTGGAATTCAGTAACTGATTTATTTGAAAAAGCAGAAATTGTTTTAATTAACATTATGTTATGTTAATAACCAATTATGTTAATATTTGCATGTTAATTTCTTTTAACCAAGAAATATATTATTCAGTTTATTAACTTTTTGTAACATGCAAAATTTTAGATTAAAAAAAAGGAAGAAGACAACCACTTGTTTATGGGGTTGAAAAATAACAGACTTTAAATTCTCTGTAAAATTTATAGAGTTATGAAGTTTTTGAGAATAAAATGTTGAGGATACTAAAAGTATGAAAGCAATACATTAAGATATTTTAAATTCCTTTAAAAAGAGATTGTCTTAATTTGTTTCTTAAAATTAGAATTGTTAGTTTTCATAAGAAAAAAGGCGCTTATTAAAAAAAAGTACATTTTAATCATGCTATAACTGTAAGAAAATTATTTACTCTTCTTTATCATAATTTTCTCATTTACGACCTTTCAATTCACATTTTGTTTTCTAACTTCACTTTCAATCTTCAAATTTCATGAATCTTAATGCCCAAGTTGATCATAAAAATAAATTTAGACTTCATTTATTGTTATGTAATATTTCAATTGTACAACAGTACAGTCTAAATCGAATACATTTATAGCCTAAAAATAACTTGCAGCCTGATGTAAAAAGATTTTTATGACAATTGAAATTGATGTCATTATCAACTTATGTATATCTTAAATTTTTATTCCTAACTAGCTGCAAGGACCCGCTTCGCTGGGTTTTTAAAAAATAACGATAGTGAAGATTAAGATAATTACATTATAGCCAATCTTACCCGTTTTCTATTTCTATGGTCCCAATTCTATTTCTGAACGTCTCCTGTTCACGTCCAGTCAAACAAACTATTTTCAACGTTTCTGGAATGTTTACAATCGTTCTACAATCGAACCAATATTCGAATTTTATGTTCGAATTAAATTCGAACAAATTTGAACATAAAATTCGAAATAGAGAACCACTTTCAACCCCATATCTCCCACACCCTTATAGCTATCGAGATGCAACCACCATAGTGCATGAATGGAGACTTGGGGCTACTACCACATACAAACACCATTTGTGTGCAATGTGTAGTTTTGGTGGAAAAGTGAAATATAGGGACACACACGTCCATTTTTATATATATATATATAGATTTTAGACTCTTTTCATCTTGAGATTTTTAAAAAATGTTTTAAATTTAATTATTTGTATCATTGATGGACAACCGATAAACCTTTTCCACACATAAAACTCATCTTTTACACTGTAATATGTATGAACCCTCCTATATATAATAATGTATTAATCTGAAAAATCTAATTGAAAATTTAAGTGCATTTATATCAAAAATTTTATTTTAAATTATTTTCATAAATTAATAATCTAAAATTATTATAGTTCTGATTATTTTAACTGTTTATATTAATTACAGTAATCAATCCAATATAAATAAATTTATAAAATATTCATGATCAAATAATCAACTATATAAATAAGCTAAAATCAAGGTCATTCACTTAATGTGCAAATAAACTGAATAACGTCAACTATCTCATTCAAGAAAACAAATTAATTATAACTAGATGCTCTTCATTTCAACAACAATAATTTAAAATATTTTAATATAATATGAATGTTTGATGTTAAATAAATTGCTTAGCAATTGATATTTTTTACAATATTATAATTTAAAATTTTTAAAATTCCTCTTGTTTTACATTTTGATATTCCAACAATGTGCACAATAAAACCAACAGAATAAAACTTTAAATCTTATTTGAAAAACTTATCCTTCAAAATGTTATTATTTTTGTGTATAAACATTATTTTAAACATATATCTTTGAATTTGAAATACTCTAATTTCTGCTATGTACTTTTATTTATAAAAAAAAAACAGAAAAGAAATAATTTATTCCTTCTATTATTTTTATTAATAGATATTTGTCAGGATTAAGAAATATATATTAAATCAAATTTATATCTTACAAATTTGCTGTTTTCAATGTTTTCATAATTATTTGATAAAGATTGTGAATAAAAACAAACTAAGTGTTCATATCACAAAAGTATTTAAATGAAGACAAAAATAATTTCAATTAACATAAATATAAAATTAAAATTTTCATCGTGTTTTACAAAGAAGAAAATGTATTCTCACTATATAACTTTAAGTAATGTTGTAAACTTTGTAATTGCATTTCACCATCTCATTTTAAGTTAATAAGCATTAAAAAAAATCTAATTCACTTTTCTGTAGAATAATATAATTGTTACTAATAGAAATTATTTTTATAAAAAAACAATTCTATTAAAATATTTTATTAAACACAAAATTCTATTTCTTAAACATATACATAATGAATTTTTGATGATGAAAACAAATCTGTAACAGAAAACATAACAGAAAATACCAAATTCAATCACCAAACGAATTAAAAATATAATACCTAATTCAGTACGTCTGATAAGAATAAGAAAAAAGTTTACATATTCTATTGTTTATACTGAATATTGCACTGGACAAATACAATTAGAATAGATCATAATTGTTTCAATAAAAGTCTTAAGACAATATTACAGTATATTTCATAAATCAATCAGAAAATGAAAGAATGAAATCATTAAAGCTAAGAAAAAGCAAGTATTAATAAAAGATCTTGAATGAAGTTTTCGGTCATGGACGATTCATCATAGGTAAGATAAATACTCTTGTGACTTACTCATCCATAATTCAAAACAATATTTTATTTATATCAGAATAATATAACATTTTTTCTGTAAGGATTTATTTATGATATATAAAATATATAATACTGTAACATTACTCAGATAATAGATGGTAAAACTCTTATTAATAATAATTAAAACAAAAATAAAAATAAAAAAATCTTTAAGTATAAATATTCAATAAAGTAGTTAAAAACCATTTTTAAAATATAATGAATTTACAATAGATGGTAACATCTTCAAATATTATTTCTGAAAGCTTAATAATTATTATTTATAACAATTACTAAATAAAATATAAACAATAAAGCACTGACCTGTTTTGTGTTTGCTTTATCAATAGTTCCTACATTTTGATATTCTGGATGTTTAGGCAATTTTTCTACAAACAATCTATATAATTGAACACTTATAAGTAATTAAATATAAATTGAGTAGCTAAAGTTTTCATTTACACAATGCAAAATAGATCATTTAAATTTTCAGATGTAATTCATAAATAATACATTTTTGTTATAAGAAAGATAAACTAAAAAAAAAATTATATAATTTCATTTAAATATATTTCAAATATTCTAGATTTTTAATTCCTAGCAAGATTTTGATTTGAATTATAAGATTTAATGTTAAGAATTGTCTACAGTTACTATAATTATCTTTTATTATAAAGGAATATATAATGATATATTTGTATGATATACGAGCATAAATAATTTGTGATCAATAAACACAATATGCTTATTTCAGAAAGATAGTGAAGGATACTATCTCCACATAGATAGGTTCATTCAACAATGCAAAGCATTTTTTCAATCCTCATGATTTAGTTACTCTACACACTGCAGTTCAGTTCATACTTATTCATTCATCCAAGTTTTTAGATTCTTTAACTAATATATCAAAATTTCAAAAAGTTCCTTTAAATTGTGTGGAAAAAATTCAGTTAAATTAATTATTAGTTGAATAATTCAATAAATTTAATTCTTATTGGTATATATAAATACAAACACTATCTACAGATCACAATCTGGAAAAGATCTGACTCAATGTCTTCAGATGGCATAATTGTTAAACTTATCCATTATGTTCAATTTGTGTATTCAAATCCTATTCCAAATCATTATTCTATAGTTCTTTTATCTAGATCAGGGATGTCCAACCTGCGGCCCGTGGCAAGGTTCAATGCAGCCCAATAAACGTGTTAACAACACCGACAAAGTTATTATTATTTTTTTATTTATTTCAACAGCATAAACTCCAAAAAGAAGTTTCACAAAACCCTAAACATTTATACATTTTTCAGTGGAAAGGAAATATTTTCAAATACTTGGAAATGTGTGAATGAGGAAAGAATACTAAATAATGCTGGAGTTGTGACTCAAAGGATTATAGACCCAAATTCGAGGAAAGGAGAGAAAGGCCAAAAGATAAAAAGTAGTGAGAAAGGTTATATAGACCTTCTGTTATGCAAATATTGACCCTTAATTTTCCAACCTTATTCATTTCTTTGTCTTTTGTGCTTTCTCTCCTTTCCCTGCATTTGGATCTATAATTCTTTGAGTCCCAAGCTTTATCTAGNATTTTCCTTAATATTCCTTTGGTGCGCTAAGACATTTCTTTGTACACTTCTTTGTACACTAAGGTAAACTATTATGTCAATTTGATGCTATTTTTTCATTTTAAATGCGATAATGACGTAAAAGTTTACACTGTTTAGACAAAAATTACGTGATTCTGGACTGGACTGTACTTATTTTATGTTAAATCATTTGAATAAGAATGGTTCATTATCTAGTAAACTACTTGGATCATTAAATAAGTAGGCAAGGAACACAGTTCAACAATATAATATAAGGAACAGATTTTCATATTAATGTTATGTAATTATCACAAGCATGAATCATTAAATGGAATAGTTCAATCTATTATTTTTTTTGTTTTTGGATTGACATCATGTAACTATTTTTATGAAAATTAATACAAATTTCTTTAATAATGTTATCATATCATATAATTGATTCTTTATACATTATTTTAAAAACGAAAGTCTTCCGTCGTAATAATAATTTTGTAATGTTGTTTCTTATGTTACATTTCTATTCTTTTAATCACTTATATTATTTTATTCATGTTAATTACTATTTTATTTCATTCTTTAAGTTATTTCTTAAATAATATTTAGATCATATCAGAGTCCCTAGTTCATATAGATTACAATTAAAATGCAATTTCATGTGTAATTTTAAATTTATTAAATTCATTTTATCTTAATTTTTAATAGAATGAAGAGAATGATTCTATTAAGATAATGCAAATAAATAGTCAATACAGTTAAGGAATAAATCTAATTAAATTAAGAGATTATTTGGCTCGAATATAAGGCATAAATTCAAAGAAATCACTTCATATACATTCAAAATAGATGCATTTTTTCCTACTTGAATCTTGAATTTTAATTTATATATTTAAAGTCTAATCAATATTTGCATTTGATATATTAATTACTTGATTATGTCTATAAATAATACATTTAGTACAGTTACATGCTTTAACATTTCACACACACAAAACAATATAAAATAAAAAAATTATTTTTGAAAAATTAAAAGTTAATTTTTTAAAATAATTCACATTATTTTGTACTAAAAATATTAAAAATTTATCTGCTAGTTAATAACTTCAAATTTTTCCATCCAAAATTTTCTTTTAATTAAAGAATGTTGATTAAATTGCATTTAAACTTTTGAAATTTTAAGCTATTTTAAAACAACATTTTAATTCCAGTTATGTAAATGCTATTAGACATTTTAGTGATGCAATTTGAATATGATATTCTGAAAATGAAGTGTTTGTCTCCTTGTTTATAAATTCAAGTTTAAATTATGAATTTAATCCTATTTTTCAGATAATCTTGATTTTATTCAATAAATAGATTTAAAAACATTATAAAAAAGCTTTTTTTAATTGTTTTATGATAACTAAATACAGACATCCCTTGCTTGATGTCAGTAATCCATTTCTGAAACTCATATGTTCTGCAAGGAAACATTAGCAGGAGCCTATTTCCAATTATTTTAATTGGAAAAAATTCTAATAATTTTCATGTCACCCCAAAACAATTTTCAAACTTGTAACAAACATAATATAAAGCCTATACACAAATGACAAGTTATCATATTCAAATTTAAAATGCCTAAAATATTGCTTTCTAAATAATTACTGCACCTTTAACAGTGGGATTTTAAAATAACACCAACGTTTGAACTCAGTAATTGATCAGCATTCCACTTTTGACTTTCAATATCTGAGGATGACCTATTAACCAGGTTAAAATTGTTAGCATTCTTCTAAAATCCCATTGTTAAATATGTTGTAATTAGTCTAGTAAATTATCACAGTCACTAGTATATCATTTTCAATACTGCTTTCTGATCAACAAACAGTTAATATGGTTAACTCTTAACTTCATTCTGATGACATAATTCTGGTGCAGGGACATACTCCCTTTTGTTCTCAGATACAGGTGGATGTTGATCCATATGGAGTAGAGGGACAATATTTTTGTACCAACAAATTGTCTTCCCTCCCAACATATGTTTATTTTACACAATACTAAAAAAATTAAAATTAGAAACAAGTATTATACACAACAAATACCTATTATTTTGTATATCCATTCATAATCTGATAATGAAAAACTTTTCTTACCCATAGTCATTGGCCAATCCCTCCATATTTACACAGATAGCCTAATGCAGATACAATTGATTTAATTCATTTTTACAGTACTTTAACTTCCAAAGCAAGTTAAAAGTGTCAATTGCAAAGTTGCACTTTCTTGTTTATATTTCTATTTATGAAATTTTTATTTTATGTTATTTGATAAATTTTATAAACAAACCAATCCATTGTTGTTTAATTATAATAATAATAATTGTTTTTTGATTAATTTTAACATCCTACACACATACACACAACTTTTTTCCACTAAATATGAAAGTTACATCTGTTATGACACTTTTCATTTATGGGCTTGATGTTATATTTCTTATTATGAAAATATAAATAAAAATTTAGAGTAGATATTATAAACACCAGATACAATAAAGTTTTTCAATTTGTGTTTGAAAATAATATTTGTTTTATTATATATATACAATTTTCTCATTTCCTGTATCAGATAAATGAGTTTTTTTATATCATTTTGTTTCTTACAATGAATTCTATCTATGTTTCTTAGATTTATTTTATTCACTGCCACAAAAGTAAAAATTTCAATTCATGCTATCGTGTTACTTTAATTCAGAAACTATGCTCAATGTAAACAAAATTTTGTTAAATAAAGTAATTGTATTCCAGCTAAAATTTACTAATTTTTTTTCAAATTATTGCTAGAGATTTACTTTTATACTAACCAATATTAAAAAAGCAAAAATAAAATACTGTAATATTAAATAATAATTCTCAATTATCTGAACAAAGTCTCAATTATTGACTGTCTAGATAGGGTTTCTAATTATGCAATTACATCCACTTTATCTCTAACATCCAATACTGTACAATAGAATATTAAAAACAAACCAGCAAGTTGGTTAGAATTTGAAACTATGTTATAGAAAAAGTATCATTGGATAATGATTGCTAATCCAGTAGCAGCCAGTAGAGTATTTAATTATTTGAAATAAACAATAAGAACTAATTAATTAATTAAGAATAATAGAAAAACTTTCAATATAAAACTATATATAAAAACAATTTAAAATTATTTCTATTATATATTAATACAATGATAAGAAATGAAATAAAATTAATAATATACAAATAGGAGCAATTTTGTTATAACAACAGGTAAAAGCAATTACAATGGCTTACAGCATTATTCTAAGGTGTATTTGCCAAAAGCCACTGATCATTTCCTGCAAATTAAGTGTTAACAAATAGAAAATATAAAAAAAACCTCATATGTTAATTAACATTCCCAGAAAATATTATCTATAAACTATGATTATTAAAAACTCATGTTTAATCTAAATCAGTTCTTCACAAAATACAATATCTTTTAATATTTAAAAACACTACTTACTCTTTTCCATCTCCAACTTTACTGGAGTCTAAATAACTAAATGTGGGAGAAATTAGTGTTGAATTATCATCTATGGTGGTGAATGTATTTGTTGGATAATCTTTTAGAGAAGATTCTGTTCTTAAATCAGAAAATTCACTGGGTGACACTACCAGATCATAAGTGTTTCGGCTAGTATTATTTAAAAGAGGTCGATCCCAATCAGTAAATTTCGGTTCATTTTGTTTTCCTAAAGCTGATTTCCTAGCTTCTTCATTCCTTCGTTTCTCTTCTTCTAAAAGTAACCGTTCTCTCTCTCTTTCTTCTTCCTCCTCCTCTTTCTTCTACAGAACAAAGCAAACCAATTTTTAATCCATAAGTTAATGATACAACTCTTAAAACTGTAAAATTTACAAAAAGATATAAATATAACATATATAACTAACAGATAAGTTCTCAATGAATTAAACATTTTATCGAATTTTTAAATAATATTTTAAACTCTGACCTGTTTAAGCTTATTTTGTATAATTTTAACTTTGAGAATACCTGTATTTATTTTTGTATCACTACAATAGCTACATTGCCTATATTATCCAAGTAATTTATAATGTGCACGGGTGCCTATGTGTATAAGAAAAGCTAATACATTTCTAATAAACAAATTTAGCAGTAAATTATACATTAAGGCTATTTAATTGTAATAAAAACAATTAGTTCATATATTTGAAAAATAAACTATCATAATAAAATAAATAAATAATCACCTTTTCTTTAAGCCATTCTTCATATTCTCGAGAATATTTTTCTAATAATTTTGATTTTAATTTTTCAGCAATAGTAAATATTTCCTTTAATTTCTGTTCTTAGGGGAAAAAACACACAAGTCATAAATTAGAAATTTATATTTCTAAACTTTTTATATACGCTTTTTATATATTTATTATTTACAATTAAATTATAAATTTAAAAAATACCTTAAAAATTGTAATCTATTAAGCATATAAATGCAAGTTACTCCAAAAATGCCTAAATCATTTGAATAATTTATAAAATTATATACAATAAAGAGGAAAAATTCTTAATGTTTTAATTTCCAATTTAGAAATAAAATTATTCAACTTAGTCAAATAATAAATTAAAAGTTAAATTTTATAATAGCATTTGAAATAATAAAGAACTTTTTAATTTTCTTAACAATCCATGTGAAATTGGGAATTGTAAAGATAATTACGGTAAATATGAAACTACATATTTAAATTACATAGCAGTTTTCAAAAAGAAAAAAAAAAATCAACAATATATTAAGTATTCTTTAAATTTTATGTTCAAAGAAATGAAAATTATTCATAAATTCATAACCTTTCTTGATTTTTATTATTAAACATAATTAAAATTTAAAAAAGATAATTGTTTTTATATAATAGTGCCATAAGATGAATTGTACAAGTGCACGTATCAATTAATTATCATTACAAAGTAGCTAATATATTAATTTAATATGTAAATACTGTGAACTAAAAATTACTAAATGCATTTGATTTATTTGTAAGATAATTAATGTCAACACAGAGATGATATAATGAGCATTTTTAATTCAAATTATTGTGACCAATTATCTGGAATTCAGTAACTGATTTATTTGAAAAAGCAGAAATTGTTTTAATTAACATTATGTTATGTTAATAACCAATTATGTTAATATTTGCATGTTAATTTCTTTTAACCAAGAAATATATTATTCAGTTTATTAACTTTTTGTAACATGCAAAATTTTAGATTAAAAAAAAGGAAGAAGACAACCACTTGTTTATGGGGTTGAAAAATAACAGACTTTAAATTCTCTGTAAAATTTATAGAGTTATGAAGTTTTTGAGAATAAAATGTTGAGGATACTAAAAGTATGAAAGCAATACATTAAGATATTTTAAATTCCTTTAAAAAGAGATTGTCTTAATTTGTTTCTTAAAATTAGAATTGTTAGTTTTCATAAGAAAAAAGGCGCTTATTAAAAAAAAGTACATTTTAATCATGCTATAACTGTAAGAAAATTATTTACTCTTCTTTATCATAATTTTCTCATTTACGACCTTTCAATTCACATTTTGTTTTCTAACTTCACTTTCAATCTTCAAATTTCATGAATCTTAATGCCCAAGTTGATCATAAAAATAAATTTAGACTTCATTTATTGTTATGTAATATTTCAATTGTACAACAGTACAGTCTAAATCGAATACATTTATAGCCTAAAAATAACTTGCAGCCTGATGTAAAAAGATTTTTATGACAATTGAAATTGATGTCATTATCAACTTATGTATATCTTAAATTTTTATTCCTAACTAGCTGCAAGGACCCGCTTCGCTGGGTTTTTAAAAAATAACGATAGTGAAGATTAAGATAATTACATTATAGCCAATCTTACCCGTTTTCTATTTCTATGGTCCCAATTCTATTTCTGAACGTCTCCTGTTCACGTCCAGTCAAACAAACTATTTTCAACGTTTCTGGAATGTTTACAATCGTTCTACAATCGAACCAATATTCGAATTTTATGTTCGAATTAAATTCGAACAAATTTGAACATAAAATTCGAAATAGAGAACCACTTTCAACCCCATATCTCCCACACCCTTATAGCTATCGAGATGCAACCACCATAGTGCATGAATGGAGACTTGGGGCTACTACCACATACAAACACCATTTGTGTGCAATGTGTAGTTTTGGTGGAAAAGTGAAATATAGGGACACACACGTCCATTTTTATATATATATATATAGATTTTAGACTCTTTTCATCTTGAGATTTTTAAAAAATGTTTTAAATTTAATTATTTGTATCATTGATGGACAACCGATAAACCTTTTCCACACATAAAACTCATCTTTTACACTGTAATATGTATGAACCCTCCTATATATAATAATGTATTAATCTGAAAAATCTAATTGAAAATTTAAGTGCATTTATATCAAAAATTTTATTTTAAATTATTTTCATAAATTAATAATCTAAAATTATTATAGTTCTGATTATTTTAACTGTTTATATTAATTACAGTAATCAATCCAATATAAATAAATTTATAAAATATTCATGATCAAATAATCAACTATATAAATAAGCTAAAATCAAGGTCATTCACTTAATGTGCAAATAAACTGAATAACGTCAACTATCTCATTCAAGAAAACAAATTAATTATAACTAGATGCTCTTCATTTCAACAACAATAATTTAAAATATTTTAATATAATATGAATGTTTGATGTTAAATAAATTGCTTAGCAATTGATATTTTTTACAATATTATAATTTAAAATTTTTAAAATTCCTCTTGTTTTACATTTTGATATTCCAACAATGTGCACAATAAAACCAACAGAATAAAACTTTAAATCTTATTTGAAAAACTTATCCTTCAAAATGTTATTATTTTTGTGTATAAACATTATTTTAAACATATATCTTTGAATTTGAAATACTCTAATTTCTGCTATGTACTTTTATTTATAAAAAAAAAACAGAAAAGAAATAATTTATTCCTTCTATTATTTTTATTAATAGATATTTGTCAGGATTAAGAAATATATATTAAATCAAATTTATATCTTACAAATTTGCTGTTTTCAATGTTTTCATAATTATTTGATAAAGATTGTGAATAAAAACAAACTAAGTGTTCATATCACAAAAGTATTTAAATGAAGACAAAAATAATTTCAATTAACATAAATATAAAATTAAAATTTTCATCGTGTTTTACAAAGAAGAAAATGTATTCTCACTATATAACTTTAAGTAATGTTGTAAACTTTGTAATTGCATTTCACCATCTCATTTTAAGTTAATAAGCATTAAAAAAAATCTAATTCACTTTTCTGTAGAATAATATAATTGTTACTAATAGAAATTATTTTTATAAAAAAACAATTCTATTAAAATATTTTATTAAACACAAAATTCTATTTCTTAAACATATACATAATGAATTTTTGATGATGAAAACAAATCTGTAACAGAAAACATAACAGAAAATACCAAATTCAATCACCAAACGAATTAAAAATATAATACCTAATTCAGTACGTCTGATAAGAATAAGAAAAAAGTTTACATATTCTATTGTTTATACTGAATATTGCACTGGACAAATACAATTAGAATAGATCATAATTGTTTCAATAAAAGTCTTAAGACAATATTACAGTATATTTCATAAATCAATCAGAAAATGAAAGAATGAAATCATTAAAGCTAAGAAAAAGCAAGTATTAATAAAAGATCTTGAATGAAGTTTTCGGTCATGGACGATTCATCATAGGTAAGATAAATACTCTTGTGACTTACTCATCCATAATTCAAAACAATATTTTATTTATATCAGAATAATATAACATTTTTTCTGTAAGGATTTATTTATGATATATAAAATATATAATACTGTAACATTACTCAGATAATAGATGGTAAAACTCTTATTAATAATAATTAAAACAAAAATAAAAATAAAAAAATCTTTAAGTATAAATATTCAATAAAGTAGTTAAAAACCATTTTTAAAATATAATGAATTTACAATAGATGGTAACATCTTCAAATATTATTTCTGAAAGCTTAATAATTATTATTTATAACAATTACTAAATAAAATATAAACAATAAAGCACTGACCTGTTTTGTGTTTGCTTTATCAATAGTTCCTACATTTTGATATTCTGGATGTTTAGGCAATTTTTCTACAAACAATCTATATAATTGAACACTTATAAGTAATTAAATATAAATTGAGTAGCTAAAGTTTTCATTTACACAATGCAAAATAGATCATTTAAATTTTCAGATGTAATTCATAAATAATACATTTTTGTTATAAGAAAGATAAACTAAAAAAAAAATTATATAATTTCATTTAAATATATTTCAAATATTCTAGATTTTTAATTCCTAGCAAGATTTTGATTTGAATTATAAGATTTAATGTTAAGAATTGTCTACAGTTACTATAATTATCTTTTATTATAAAGGAATATATAATGATATATTTGTATGATATACGAGCATAAATAATTTGTGATCAATAAACACAATATGCTTATTTCAGAAAGATAGTGAAGGATACTATCTCCACATAGATAGGTTCATTCAACAATGCAAAGCATTTTTTCAATCCTCATGATTTAGTTACTCTACACACTGCAGTTCAGTTCATACTTATTCATTCATCCAAGTTTTTAGATTCTTTAACTAATATATCAAAATTTCAAAAAGTTCCTTTAAATTGTGTGGAAAAAATTCAGTTAAATTAATTATTAGTTGAATAATTCAATAAATTTAATTCTTATTGGTATATATAAATACAAACACTATCTACAGATCACAATCTGGAAAAGATCTGACTCAATGTCTTCAGATGGCATAATTGTTAAACTTATCCATTATGTTCAATTTGTGTATTCAAATCCTATTCCAAATCATTATTCTATAGTTCTTTTATCTAGATCAGGGATGTCCAACCTGCGGCCCGTGGCAAGGTTCAATGCAGCCCAATAAACGTGTTAACAACACCGACAAAGTTATTATTATTTTTTTATTTATTTCAACAGCATAAACTCCAAAAAGAAGTTTCACAAAACCCTAAACATTTATACATTTTTCAGTGGAAAGGAAATATTTTCAAATACTTGGAAATGTGTGAATGAGGAAGGAATACTAAATAATGCTGGAGTTGTGACTCAAAGGATTATAGACCCAAATTCGAGGAAAGGAGAGAAAGGCCAAAAGATAAAAAGTAGTGAGAAAGGTTATATAGACCTTCTGTTATGCAAATATTGACCCTTAATTTTCCAACCTTATTCATTTCTTTGTCTTTTGTGCTTTCTCTCCTTTCCCTGCATTTGGATCTATAATTCTTTGAGTCCCAAGCTTTATCTAGTATTTCTTCCAGCAAGATTTGGCTATTTTATGCCAAATTTGGTTACCTCTTTTTAGTTTGGCATAAAAAATATCATTTGGCACATTGGCTACTTTTTGAGCTACATATTATTTATAAATACAGGGTGTTTTTTTTAAACTGATGGTACTCAGAGACATCTGTAGAGCAATCTAACAGCTGGACTGTTGCCAAATTTGGAAGAGTGACTAAGGACAACATGGGAAAGAGATTCCGCGAAGAAAATAAAGTAGTACCTAAATTCAACAGTAGGGGTGGATTTGACGCTGTTATAGTCACTTAGTCACTCTCCCAAATTTGGCGACAGTCCAACTGTTAGATTGCTCTACAGATGTCTCTGAGTACCATCAATTTAAAAAAAACACCCTGTATATTAGTTGAATACAAATGCACTTTAAATGGTGTTTCATCGTTTTTTATTAATTAATTAATTTAATTAATTAGAAATGTAAATAAAACAAATATTTGTGTTTTGCAAATAAATTTTTGTTTGTCTCTTTTATAATAAATGAATTTATCTATTTCTAAGTAAAAATTGAAAGTATCTACAGAAGTACTTTTTTAAAATATCCTTTTTCATGATAAAGTTTTAATACTTATTACTATAATCTGGACATGTTAATCCTTAAATATACTTGCATATTTAAGGATTGGGCCACAAGTACATATAATATACTTGTGACCAAAGCTCCATGACTTCTTCCAAACAAAGAAACGAAAAGGTTGGACACCCCTGATCTAGATTCTATTATTGATTCAAGCACTTTATTATTTAATAAATAAGTAATATAACATTCTGCAATCATTGATGCAAATACTCATAAATGTAACATATGTAGATTTTTATAAATGTTTTTTGACATTAATTTTAACTGCAGTCATTTTTAAATTTACATAAATATTAAAAAAAACTGTCCTTTTTTTTTACTTCTTCTCTTTGAATATATCAAAAACAAAACTGAAACAGTCAAACTCAAATTTCAAAATGATTTTCTTGGTTATAAATATAACATATGGCTATTATCAAGCACCTACTTTGCACAGCAATCTGATAAGTATCTCAGATGATTATAAAAGCCACAATACAAATATCAACAAAGTAGATTCACCTTAAAACAAACACTGATTAAGAAAATTCTTGTGTTAATGCAAAGTTTGCTGTTACCTAGGCAAGACACCACTGTCACAATGTTAATTTTCATTCAATAATGTAAACAAAAATTTTACCAGAATGCATTAAACAGAACTGTAAATTACTTTCACAATCCCCAAGAAATAATCTTATTTCCAATAAGGGTGCTTTTTACACTTTTCAACAGGGCTGTGGAGGAGGAGTCAGGAGAAATTTCTGGCCAGAGGAGTCGGAGTCAGAAAAATGTGTCGACTCCTGCATTTTAAATTAAATTAAATTTTTTTATTTAACTGAAAGAAAATTTATTTTATATTTATTAATTTTTAAAAATCTTTTTGTATTTTGTTATAATTCATTTATTTTAAATACAAAATGCATCAATTTAATTTATTAAATATGGTAAAACAACCACTTCACACCTAAGCAATAATTCCAGCAAATGAACAACAAAAAACTTTTTATGTTCAAACGTTTTTGGCCGTCTTTCAGAGGCCCTCGTCAGGAAAAATTGCACAGAATAGAAAAACAGTTCTATCTTTTTAACAGTTTTTGAACATAGCTGTGTTCTAATTTTTAACATTTAAACGATGTTGAATACAAAGATTGTTACGTATTACAACATATAATTAAAATATTTATAAATAAATACAATAATAATATATATGGTGTTAATATACAAAATAATATATATGGTAGTAATAATATATTCATTGTTAAAAGTTAGCCTGATGTTTTAATGTATAAACGATGTGCAATAGGGAAAAATTGTTTCCATTACATCGCCTAAAGCTAACTTCATACTAAAGAATCATAGTTATACTTTGTGGCTTTGTAAATAATACTTTCACAATTGTGGAACTGGAATATAGTTGGAGTTAATGCAACCTCCCTTCATGCCCGCTATATAAATTTCAATAGCCTCCAATGAATGTAAGTCGTGTTGGTCAAACACCCTGTGTAAAAGCATAGTTTCATCCCAACAAGGAGAAACTCCGGGTTCAGTAGCATACTGGGCTAGTGCAGTATTATACTTCCCCTTGGACACATCATACTTGTGGTCTCATATTCTAGCCTCTAGAGATCAATACGTGGACCTGATGTATATTATACGCCTATTAAAACGATTTCTTGCAATGGAATGTGGTACACTCCTGGCACTTTCTTGTCCTCAGACTTGTCTTTTGCATTAGATAAGATTCTAAAAATGTTCTGTTTTCTCCTATAAGTTAAGCAAAAGTTTAAATCCTTAGCAATTCTATTACAAATTTGTTGGAGAGATGGTTCATAAGCTATAACCACCTGTTTGCACTCTGCATCATTAAGCCTCATGTCGGTGGTAGTTATCGTAGATAGCTGGTTGGCAGTGAACCTGTTTATTAAGGACTGGTGGTATACCCGTGTGCAGATGCTATAGACTTGACACATTTCAATTCATTGTGTGTATCGGAAGTGTCCAAGCAATGGGAGAAAGCCCTAGCAACTAGGGCCTGGAAAGCCACTACCTTAAAAGGCCAAGGGTCTGCTGAGTTAGCAGGTATAAAGAGGGAAATATATGCAAGTTTGCAGTAAATAGACGTGGTTATATTTTTATTTGCCATACTAATCTTGACATCCAAGTACCTAACCTCTGTGCGACTTTCCTGATCTAATTCTAGTGTTAGGCCATAGGCGTTGTTGTTAAAAACTTTTAACACCTCTCCTAAACATTGGGCTAACTTTTAACAATGAATATATTATTACCACCATATATATTATTATTGTATTTATTTATAACTTTATTTATAAATATTTTAATTATATGTTGTGATANCTTGATTTTTATTATTAAACATAATTAAAATTTAAAAAAGATAATTGTTTTTATATAATAGTGCCATAAGATGAATTGTACAAGTGCACGTATCAATTAATTATCATTACAAAGTAGCTAATATATTAATTTAATATGTAAATACTGTGAACTAAAAATTACTAAATGCATTTGATTTATTTGTAAGATAATTAATGTCAACACAGAGATGATATAATGAGCATTTTTAATTCAAATTATTGTGACCAATTATCTGGAATTCAGTAACTGATTTATTTGAAAAAGCAGAAATTGTTTTAATTAACATTATGTTATGTTAATAACCAATTATGTTAATATTTGCATGTTAATTTCTTTTAACCAAGAAATATATTATTCAGTTTATTAACTTTTTGTAACATGCAAAATTTTAGATTAAAAAAAAGGAAGAAGACAACCACTTGTTTATGGGGTTGAAAAATAACAGACTTTAAATTCTCTGTAAAATTTATAGAGTTATGAAGTTTTTGAGAATAAAATGTTGAGGATACTAAAAGTATGAAAGCAATACATTAAGATATTTTAAATTCCTTTAAAAAGAGATTGTCTTAATTTGTTTCTTAAAATTAGAATTGTTAGTTTTCATAAGAAAAAAGGCGCTTATTAAAAAAAAGTACATTTTAATCATGCTATAACTGTAAGAAAATTATTTACTCTTCTTTATCATAATTTTCTCATTTACGACCTTTCAATTCACATTTTGTTTTCTAACTTCACTTTCAATCTTCAAATTTCATGAATCTTAATGCCCAAGTTGATCATAAAAATAAATTTAGACTTCATTTATTGTTATGTAATATTTCAATTGTACAACAGTACAGTCTAAATCGAATACATTTATAGCCTAAAAATAACTTGCAGCCTGATGTAAAAAGATTTTTATGACAATTGAAATTGATGTCATTATCAACTTATGTATATCTTAAATTTTTATTCCTAACTAGCTGCAAGGACCCGCTTCGCTGGGTTTTTAAAAAATAACGATAGTGAAGATTAAGATAATTACATTATAGCCAATCTTACCCGTTTTCTATTTCTATGGTCCCAATTCTATTTCTGAACGTCTCCTGTTCACGTCCAGTCAAACAAACTATTTTCAACGTTTCTGGAATGTTTACAATCGTTCTACAATCGAACCAATATTCGAATTTTATGTTCGAATTAAATTCGAACAAATTTGAACATAAAATTCGAAATAGAGAACCACTTTCAACCCCATATCTCCCGCACCCTTATAGCTATCGAGATGCAACCACCATAGTGCATGAATGGAGACTTGGGGCTACTACCACATACAAACACCATTTGTGTGCAATGTGTAGTTTTGGTGGAAAAGTGAAATATAGGGACACACACGTCCATTTTTATATATATATATATAGATTTTAGACTCTTTTCATCTTGAGATTTTTAAAAAATGTTTTAAATTTAATTATTTGTATCATTGATGGACAACCGATAAACCTTTTCCACACATAAAACTCATCTTTTACACTGTAATATGTATGAACCCTCCTATATATAATAATGTATTAATCTGAAAAGTCTAATTGGAAATTTAAGTGCATTTATATCAAAAATTTTATTTTAAATTATTTTCATAAATTAATAATCTAAAATTATTATAGTTCTGATTATTTTAACTGTTTATATTAATTACAGTAATCAATCCAATATAAATAAATTTATAAAATATTCATGATCAAATAATCAACTATATAAATAAGCTAAAATCAAGGTCATTCACTTAATGTGCAAATAAACTGAATAACGTCAACTATCTCATTCAAGAAAACAAATTAATTATAACTAGATGCTCTTCATTTCAACAACAATAATTTAAAATATTTTAATATAATATGAATGTTTGATGTTAAATAAATTGCTTAGCAATTGATATTTTTTACAATATTATAATTTAAAATTTTTAAAATTCCTCTTGTTTTACATTTTGATATTCCAACAATGTGCACAATAAAACCAACAGAATAAAACTTTAAATCTTATTTGAAAAACTTATCCTTCAAAATGTTATTATTTTTGTGTATAAACATTATTTTAAACATATATCTTTGAATTTGAAATACTCTAATTTCTGCTATGTACTTTTATTTATAAAAAAAAAACAGAAAAGAAATAATTTATTCCTTCTATTATTTTTATTAATAGATATTTGTCAGGATTAAGAAATATATATTAAATCAAATTTATATCTTACAAATTTGCTGTTTTCAATGTTTTCATAATTATTTGATAAAGATTGTGAATAAAAACAAACTAAGTGTTCATATCACAAAAGTATTTAAATGAAGACAAAAATAATTTCAATTAACATAAATATAAAATTAAAATTTTCATCGTGTTTTACAAAGAAGAAAATGTATTCTCACTATATAACTTTAAGTAATGTTGTAAACTTTGTAATTGCATTTCACCATCTCATTTTAAGTTAATAAGCATTAAAAAAAATCTAATTCACTTTTCTGTAGAATAATATAATTGTTACTAATAGAAATTATTTTTATAAAAAAACAATTCTATTAAAATATTTTATTAAACACAAAATTCTATTTCTTAAACATATACATAATGAATTTTTGATGATGAAAACAAATCTGTAACAGAAAACATAACAGAAAATACCAAATTCAATCACCAAACGAATTAAAAATATAATACCTAATTCAGTACGTCTGATAAGAATAAGAAAAAAGTTTACATATTCTATTGTTTATACTGAATATTGCACTGGACAAATACAATTAGAATAGATCATAATTGTTTCAATAAAAGTCTTAAGACAATATTACAGTATATTTCATAAATCAATCAGAAAATGAAAGAATGAAATCATTAAAGCTAAGAAAAAGCAAGTATTAATAAAAGATCTTGAATGAAGTTTTCGGTCATGGACGATTCATCATAGGTAAGATAAATACTCTTGTGACTTACTCATCCATAATTCAAAACAATATTTTATTTATATCAGAATAATATAACATTTTTTCTGTAAGGATTTATTTATGATATATAAAATATATAATACTGTAACATTACTCAGATAATAGATGGTAAAACTCTTATTAATAATAATTAAAACAAAAATAAAAATAAAAAAATCTTTAAGTATAAATATTCAATAAAGTAGTTAAAAACCATTTTTAAAATATAATGAATTTACAATAGATGGTAACATCTTCAAATATTATTTCTGAAAGCTTAATAATTATTATTTATAACAATTACTAAATAAAATATAAACAATAAAGCACTGACCTGTTTTGTGTTTGCTTTATCAATAGTTCCTACATTTTGATATTCTGGATGTTTAGGCAATTTTTCTACAAACAATCTATATAATTGAACACTTATAAGTAATTAAATATAAATTGAGTAGCTAAAGTTTTCATTTACACAATGCAAAATAGATCATTTAAATTTTCAGATGTAATTCATAAATAATACATTTTTGTTATAAGAAAGATAAACTAAAAAAAAAATTATATAATTTCATTTAAATATATTTCAAATATTCTAGATTTTTAATTCCTAGCAAGATTTTGATTTGAATTATAAGATTTAATGTTAAGAATTGTCTACAGTTACTATAATTATCTTTTATTATAAAGGAATATATAATGATATATTTGTATGATATACGAGCATAAATAATTTGTGATCAATAAACACAATATGCTTATTTCAGAAAGATAGTGAAGGATACTATCTCCACATAGATAGGTTCATTCAACAATGCAAAGCATTTTTTCAATCCTCATGATTTAGTTACTCTACACACTGCAGTTCAGTTCATACTTATTCATTCATCCAAGTTTTTAGATTATTTAACTAATATATCAAAATTTCAAAAAGTTCCTTTAAATTGTGTGGAAAAAATTCAGTTAAATTAATTATTAGTTGAATAATTCAATAAATTTAATTCTTATTGGTATATATAAATACAAACACTATCTACAGATCACAATCTGGAAAAGATCTGACTCAATGTCTTCAGATGGCATAATTGTTAAACTTATCCATTATGTTCAATTTGTGTATTCAAATCCTATTCCAAATCATTATTCTATAGTTCTTTTATCTAGATCAGGGATGTCCAACCTGCGGCCCGTGGCAAGGTTCAATGCAGCCCAATAAACGTGTTAACAACACCGACAAAGTTATTATTATTTTTTTATTTATTTCAACAGCATAAACTCCAAAAAGAAGTTTCACAAAACCCTAAACATTTATACATTTTTCAGTGGAAAGGAAATATTTTCAAATACTTGGAAATGTGTGAATGAGGAAAGAATACTAAATAATGCTGGAGTTGTGACTCAAAGGATTATAGACCCAAATTCGAGGAAAGGAGAGAAAGGCCAAAAGATAAAAAGTAGTGAGAAAGGTTATATAGACCTTCTGTTATGCAAATATTGACCCTTAATTTTCCAACCTTATTCATTTCTTTGTCTTTTGTGCTTTCTCTCCTTTCCCTGCATTTGGATCTATAATTCTTTGAGTCCCAAGCTTTATCTAGAATTTCTTCCAGCAAGATTTGGCTATTTTATGCCAAATTTGGTTACCTCTTTTTAGTTTGGCATAAAAAATATCATTTGGCACATTGGCTACTTTTTGAGCTACATATTATTTATAAATACAGGGTGTTTTTTTTAAACTGATGGTACTCAGAGACATCTGTAGAGCAATCTAACAGCTGGACTGTTGCCAAATTTGGAAGAGTGACTAAGGACAACATGGGAAAGAGATTCCGCGAAGAAAATAAAGTAGTACCTAAATTCAACAGTAGGGGTGGATTTGACGCTGTTATAGTCACTTAGTCACTCTCCCAAATTTGGCGACAGTCCAACTGTTAGATTGCTCTACAGATGTCTCTGAGTACCATCAATTTAAAAAAAACACCCTGTATATTAGTTGAATACAAATGCACTTTAAATGGTGTTTCATCGTTTTTTATTAATTAATTAATTTAATTAATTAGAAATGTAAATAAAACAAATATTTGTGTTTTGCAAATAAATTTTTGTTTGTCTCTTTTATAATAAATGAATTTATCTATTTCTAAGTAAAAATTGAAAGTATCTACAGAAGTACTTTTTTAAAATATCCTTTTTCATGATAAAGTTTTAATACTTATTACTATAATCTGGACATGTTAATCCTTAAATATACTTGCATATTTAAGGATTGGGCCACAAGTACATATAATATACTTGTGACCAAAGCTCCATGACTTCTTCCAAACAAAGAAACGAAAAGGTTGGACACCCCTGATCTAGATTCTATTATTGATTCAAGCACTTTATTATTTAATAAATAAGTAATATAACATTCTGCAATCATTGATGCAAATACTCATAAATGTAACATATGTAGATTTTTATAAATGTTNCTTCAATCTTTGGCTATGTCTTGGGCTACTCAAATGTTTTACGTTTTTGATAATATATTAACATCTGAAGTATAATTTTTTTATTATTTTTATATTTTTCAATATATTTATTTTGTTTGTACAAAATAAAAAAATAATTTTTAACGATACAATAGTCTTTGTTAGGCTTAACATCGACGAAAATTCAACGCGAAGCGACATGCAACGGAGAAAAATTTCGACATTGGATACGTTAAACTATTTTTTCGTACGTAAATCAGTTATCCGAAATATTACTTATCCGGACAACCCCAGTCCCCAATTGATTTGGAAAATCGACGCTCTACTGTATTTAGAAAGTATAAATAACATGATCAACATCATAAAGTCTATCATTATTGCCATGAAAATGACGACAATAATACTTGTAGTAATACTAGTATTTTAACTAATATTACAAGTAAATTTTATATATTTTATATTCAAAAATTTGTAACACCACATATTTTGAATCAAATTTTTAATAGAAATAATATGTAATTAACGGTATTTCCATTAATTAATATATAACATCTGGACAAGTGTCTTACATTCTTGAATCTTAATATTCTCCAATTTGCACTATTGCTCTTGATTAATTATGTATTTGAGCATTGATATAGCATCATCCATTGTATTTTATTGTATCAATACATTTTAAACTGAATGTTACTATTAAAAGACATTTAGTTATGAATAGATTTGATCATTATTAAGGATGCTACATGCTAACAACAACAAATCTGTCTTATTAATATTCTCTTAATTTTATGTTTATTAAAACTTACTTGTTTTTATAGAAATTATATCAGGTGATTAAATAAAAAGAGAACTTGTGAGAAGTAGTACAAGAAGTTTGGTGACATCATCAGTCAGTTGTACTTGTTACTACTACCCTGCTAAACATCATGACAAATGCTTAAATCTTGAAAATTTATTTACCGTACATTTCATAGATAATATTTGAGATTGTAAATAAATAAATAAAAAATTTATGGACAATCCTTAGTTTATAAAGTTAAAAGTTGATTTTGTTTGTAGCTTTAAAAACAGAACTAAGTTAATCCAATCTCTAGTTGAAATGCTCTTTGACTTAATTTTCAGTAAATTTTTTTTGTGTGTAATTTTATATTATGAAAATTTTTTGCTTTGTAGTGTAAGATATTTCCAAATATTGCAACTTATTATTTTAAATAATAAAAAGTTAACACCACATTGGATGTCAATGATGCATGACAAATTAGACATCATCAACTCACGTAACTAAACTCCTTATGCTACTTCTCATCAGCTTTTTTTTTCCACTTGATAATTCAGTAATACAGTAAAGTCCTGAAAACTCGGCACTCGATAACCCGGCAGTCTGGATAACTCGGCCACACCCTGGCAGGGAGAAAAAATCCCTAGTTAATTTTCATTATAGACAGCTTTATGCCTCATAAAGTATTTTTCTGAGATCTGTCTTATCAGGTAAGTTACTGTACACTGTATTCATTAATTTTCATTTTCATGTAGTAAAGGCTCTATGCCTTCATAAAGTATGTACTTTTCTTTTGTTTAAGGGTATTTGGGCAGTTTATTCTCTGTTGTATTCTCAAGCAAACAATACATACAAGTACTTGTATGTATTGTTTGCTTGAGAATACAACAGAGAATAAACTGCCCAAATACCCTTAAACAAAAGAAAAGTACATACTTTATGAAGGCATAGAGCCTTTACTACATGAAAATGAAAATTAATGAATACAGTGTACAGTAACTTACCTGATAAGACAAATCTCAGAAAAATACTTTATGAGGCATAAAGCTGTCTATAATGAAAATTAACTAGGGATTTTTTCTCCCTGCCAGGGTGTGGCCGAGTTATCCAGACTGCCGGGTTATCGAGTGCCGAGTTTTCAGGACTTTACTGTATTACTGAATTATCAAGTGGAAAAAAAAAGCTGATGAGAAGTAGCATAAGGAGTTTAGTTACGTGAGTTGATGATGTCTAATTTGTCATGCATCATTGACATCCAATGTGGTGTTAACTTTTTATTATTTAAAATAATAAGTTGCAATATTTGGAAATATCTTACACTACAAAGCAGAAAATTTTCATAATATAAAATTACACACAAAAAAAATTTACTGAAAATTAAGTCAAAGAGCATTTCAACTAGAGATTGGATTAACTTAGTTCTGTTTTTAAAGCTACAAACAAAATCAACTTTTAACTTTATAAACTAAGGATTGTCCATAAATTTTTTATTTATTTATTTACAATCTCAAATATTATCTATGAAATGTACGGTAAATAAATTTTCAAGATTTAAGCATTTGTCATGATGTTTAGCAGGGTAGTAGTAACAAGTACAACTGACTGATGATGTCACCAAACTTCTTGTACTACTTCTCACAAGTTCTCTTTTTATTTAATCACCTGATATAATTTCTATAAAAACAAGTAAGTTTTAATAAACATAAAATTAAGAGAATATTAATAAGACAGATTTGTTGTTGTTAGCATGTAGCATCCTTAATAATGATCAAATCTATTCATAACTAAATGTCTTTTAATAGTAACATTCAGTTTAAAATGTATTGATACAATAAAATACAATGGATGATGCTATACCAATGCTCAAATACATAATTAATCAAGAGCAATAGTGCAAATTGGAGAATATTAAGATTCAAGAATGTAAGACACTTGTCCAGATGTTATATATTAATTAATGGAAATACCGTTAATTACATATTATTTCTATTAAAAATTTGATTCAAAATATATGGTGTTACAAATTTTTGAATATAAAATATATGCATTTTCAAAATTTCCTTCTTCCAAGTACACTTTTGCCATTCGAATCATTTCTGTTCCTGACCTAAAATAGCGTCGTGGAGGAATATTTGGATCAACTTCTACAGCACTACCTATGGCAGTAAGAGATCGTACTCTAATTTCTGGATTCGTTACAGCGTCTTTATGGTCCCTAACTGAAGGCATTTTCTTAATTTTCAAAAGACTATAAAAAAATATATATATACATATATTTTAACAGTAATATATTTATACAATATAGCAAATACAAAAATATTTTTACTTCATTACCGGTTTTTAAACCTAATTTGTTACAATAAAAATTTAAAACTTAAATTTTTCTTTTTCTTAAACAATATTTATTTTCTGACATTTAGTACATAAAGTACATTAATTTTCATTTATTTATATAAATATATATTTATTTATAAAGATTTTAAAAGGTAACATTCTGAAAAGTAAGAAAAATATATTTTCTTGACAAACATCATTTAAGTTAAAAATGAAACATAACAAAGACAATTAAACATTACAGAAGTATCCAAATTTTATAATAAATATGATAAAAAAATTGAAAACATAAAGTAAATAAAGATAAGTAATATTATAATAATTCATATAAAAATAAAAAATAATTAAACTTTGTATAATTTTTTGTGTAATGTATTTTTATAAAGCATCCCCAACTTTAGGATTAATGCAATGCTAAAAATCTAGCAATGAGTTGCTTAACTTTCCCAGCATCATTTAAAATTTTGGTGGTGCCATCTATTATAATATTTTAATTTTATTTAAAAACTTTTTATATTTTTAATTATTATAAAATGGTAAAAAAGTTTAATTTTGAAAGTAAAGATGCATTTTATTTTAAAAAAAAAGTTGTAAATGCTAGTAACAAGTAAAATTGTCATTAAATCCAACTCTACTTGAGATATGACACACACATATCTCCCCACACCTTTATCTCCCCACTCCATCAACCTTTATCCATCAAAATTTAATAGCATCAATTTTCGTAATACACAAACCTCCCCAGAAAAAAAAACAAGAGTTTTAAGCTTCAAAGAGGGTGAACAAAATCATGTCACTCACACCAACATCCAAACATACATACAAAAACAAACCCCCAAATTTTTTGCATTCCTCTTTGTTTCAAGGTCCTGAGTCCAAAAATGTAAAAATCGTGGGAGAGTCATTGTTTGATCAATTGCCATATTTTTCCTGTTTTGTATATAATAGAGCCAGGAAAGTAAAAATTTGTATGAAAGTCAAGCAATAGAGTTGCATGTTAAGAAAGAAGATTCAATTTCCAGCAAACTAAAAACAAAATTATAAAATCTGTATTAATGCAGGGTAGTTTTAATCTTTTAACAGCAAATATTTAACAAAGTACAAAAAAGTAAAAATTTAAATAATTAAATCAAAAAATACCTAAAAAAAGGAAATAAAAATTAGTTTTCAGAAATGATTTTTGTTTCAGCCAAATGATCTTCCCAAAATTATCAGGCTACTTTTGGGCTATGTTAATAATTAATTAATTAATCTGACTAAAGCTAGATGGTTAAGCCATCATTTCATATTAATTTTAATAATAATAATTTAGAAATTTCTGGAAGAAAAGAATTGACCCAGAGCAGACTCAAACCTGCAACTCCCACTTACCATGCAGATGTGCTACCAGTTAAGCTGGCAGGACCTCAGTGTGATCTTTGCTTCAAGAACTATTAATTTAGACATATAACCATACTCCACATCTGCACAGTAAGCAAGAGTTGTGGGTTTGAGTCCCACTCTGAGCCAATTCTTTTCTCCTAAAAGTTTCTAAATTAAATTAATTTATTATTAAAATTAATGAGATAATGGCTTAACTGCCTACTTCTAGTCAAATTAATTAATAATTAATTTAATAAATATAAATTACGACATTTTTACAAAGGTAAAAAACGTTGTTTCTGTCAATCTTTCCACCATTTCATTTCTACACCATCAGCGATCCTTAAGACAATTCACATAAGTTTGGGAGAGGCTTCCTTTTAAGGCTACTGCCTCAGCAAAAAGATGTAAAGTTAGGCAAAGTGTCCTCTGGTGTTCATTGCCACTGTCACAATATCACATTTTAAATAATTAATTATTAACATAACCCAAAAGTAGCCCAATAATTAATGTATGTATAAAAGCATGTAAAAATAATGTATAAAAGTGCAAATTTAACAGACAAAAAATAACAAGTTGAAGGTATCAAAGTATCATACACAAAAGGGCAAGTTGTCTGAAAGTCAAGAACAGCCTGTATATCTCATTAAGGTAGTTTTAACATTTTTATTTCAACTATGTTGAAATTAAATGCTTTTGTATTTATAGATTTTTCACTTCTCATTTAAAAATAAATATTTTATTTTTATAATATTTTCATATAAATTTCCACTCTCTTCATCACACTGTATTTCACCATAACCAATATATACTGCAATACTTACTATTGCAATAATTACAATACTGCAATACTGTGTACACCATTTAAATAAGCACTGCTATTTTTAAAATGAATTTCACAAATAAAATCACACTTACTTTATATTATATATATAAAATTCTATCAAGTGATAATTATGCAAGTTTGGCACCATCACAACACCAAAGAATTTCTGATTATCTAACTTGAAAAAATTTTTTAGTGCACTTCAGAGTTAAATGAAAAAAAAAAAGCTGTTTAGAAAAAGTTCTGTCATGCTAGATAGAACTATGGAATTGCAAAAATATAAATATGTTAGTAATCAAACTATTACTATAATCATGTTGAAAAAAACTAATTTTATCAAATATATAGGTGAGAGTAAACTTCCCTGGAAAGTTGAGTCATTTTTCAGATAACTCTCTCTAAACAATCAACGACAGTTCAAGGATCCATCAAAACAAAAGGTGTCTACCAACAAGAATTACAGGTAGTGTTCATCAAGTGGAGGATTTCTGAAAAATTTTAGTCAAATAAATGAAAAAGATGAAAGAGCCTCCACAGGAAAGAGAGTTGTATTTGAATCTCATCTGCTTTGTAGCCTGTGATCTCCCAGAGATTAAAGTTGTAACTCCTTTCACCACATCTGCCACTTTATTGATTCTTATTGCTTCAGAACTGTACACACAGTCAACTTCAGCATTCCAAATATGATCATGAGATCAGACATACGCACACTGCTCTCATGCTTAGCAATTAGGCTAGTTCCTTTTTTACATCAATCATCACTCTTTCAAACTTTCTCTGAGGCTTTGTAGCCTCAACACTTCTTAGGCACCAAGCAGAATGCACAGTGGTGATGTTAAAAAAAGCAGAATGCACAGAGTGAAAAAAATAAGTTATGTAAGGATGCTTTTGGAATGAGAGTAAGAGATAGAACTGAGTGCAGCTGGGCTCATTCAATACATGTCCCAAACTCATATCAGCATGCATTTAGAATAATTTTTCATTGTTTTTAGCCAAAAAGTAGCAAGTAGTACAAAATAAAAATTAACCCAAACTGGTAACACTGCTGCATCATGCATAAACATAGATATCATACACTATAAAGTATGGGCATCTTTGTTCATGTTTTAGTTCCAAGAAAAGTTTGACTTTTGGGGCAAAAGTTCTTTGTAAGAAATGTTTGGATTCCATGTTGTTCTACCTCTGGGGCATTTGAATTCTGAGGTATCACTGTATTTCATTTAAATATTTTATATAATAATGTAATGAGTTCTTGTTTGTGTCTATCAATTTTATAAAACATTACTATTACATCCATTAAATTCTTAATTATATGTTTTCTCAATTCTTTATATTTCTTTACTTGGATTCTCAAAATTTCTACTGTCATAAGTAGAGTCTCTAATCTGACATATATTGAACCAGTGTGTGTCAGATTACAGTAGATTGTAGGATTATTGGATTTTGTATGTGCTGTACATACCATACAGTAAAACAAAACTGCACTGATAAAAGCACTTGGAATCTTGTGCTGAAAGATTAGTTCAAGAACTGATACACCAAAGAAAGAAAGAAGAATGCCAATTAAATAACAAATAAACAACATTATATAACATTCAAAACATTTTGAGAATAGGTAAATATTGTAAATATGAATGTAAATAGAATGTAAATATTTCTAATACCAATAAACAAAATTTACAGTTAACTTGTTAAAATTATTTTATTTCATAAATCTTTCCTTTGCAGAGAGATTAAATAAAGTTTATCATCCTAAATATTTTCAGATCTCTGATTCATTTTCAACAAAGGTAAATCAAACTTAACAGGAATAAAGAGCAACAAAATGTTAAAATGCTTTGAATATTAGCATTAAATATAATATTTTAATTAACTCAAAATACATCTCAATCCAGTAACAAATCACAAATCTAATAACTGAACTAACATTTTCAATCTTATTTAAAAATCACCATCAGATTCTTATAATAGAACAGAAAACAACTTTAAAAATACAAAAAATCAAACATTTGTATTATTAACTGCAAATGCTTTTGATGATTTTTAAGTCATCATCATCATCAGGTTAAATAGCAGTCAAACATATATTAAAAAAAATTCAATCACCACTTTAAACAAAATGGAATAATTATTTCATTGGTGGAAAATGCAAACATCAATAATGATGTTTGTATCTTTTACATCATTTTTGGTTGCAAATGTCCCTAATGCTGTGGTTAGTGGGTCCTTTTGGATAGAATAACGGCACTCTTTGATATGCATGTTAAGAGACTGAGCTGTTGCTCTGATGTAGACTCATTTCTTGTTGAATCTATTCCAGAATGGGGTTAGCATACACCCCAGATGAATTTTACCTGTTAATAGGGTCTTTAGCATTTCACAATGATAAGAATACAGTTGGGTTTCTCTCCTGTAGGAGATGCTAAGTCGGTCTGTTCTGATCATTTGTTTGTAAATCTTTGAAAGATGTTTATTATATCTGACAACTTTGATAGTTTTGGGTTCATCCTTTGTAACCAAAATAGGTAACCAAATTGATATTTGTGGACATGAGTATAAAGGATACCCATGTTGTTTTGCTATGAATGCAATGCCATTTAGTTCAATATCTCTGTCAATGACATTGTAGAATAAGTGAAAATTATAAATAATTAAAGTTGTTTTCTATTCTACCATAAGAACTTGATGATGATCTTTAAATAGAACTGAAAATGTTAGTTCACTTATTAAATTTGTTTTTTGTTACTAGATTAAGGTGTGTTTTGAGTTAATTATAGTAGTGCATCCAGTTTTTGCAGTAATTAATAATATTTTAAAATTTGTTATAGCTTATTTCTTAAGATACATTTTAAGTTAAAATTAATTACTACTTACATTATAAATTATAATAGAAAATCTGAAAACACTTAGGATAAAAAGTTTTTTAATATCTAAAACATAAATTTAATAGGAAATTTCTTATGATGATGACTAACTTTTAAATTAAAATAGTTATTGTTTCATCTGAACAACAGCTGTTTTTAAATTATACAGAATATATATCATTTCCCAGAATCAAATTTAATGTATATTTTTAACATTTGAACTAATTTAAAAATTTTTTTAAATTTAGTTTTAAAATTAAATAAGCCTATTTTATTATAATTAAAATAAAATATTCAGCTTATCTTTTAGCAATTCGTTTAATAACTAACTAAGCAAATTGCTGGAATTTGAATATTTTATGTTTAAACATCCAGTGTAACTTAACAAGATTTATAATAATTTAAAATGAAGCACTATATTAGGAGTAGCCATTCTAAGATGCTTTTATTTCATAATTAAGAAAAAGTACAATTTTATTGATATTATTTGTATCTTTAATTCATATAAACCAGTGGTTCTTAACCTTTTTATACTCGCGACCCACCAAATATTTCATATTTTTTTTGTGACCCCCTTTTTTAATAATAATTTATATTTGTTAAATTATCTATAATAAATTGATTTTTTTATTATTGCTTTATTTTTTTATATAATAAATGTAAAACATAACTTTATTATTTTATTATCTGTTTAAATAACATTCAAACTCCACAATTAAGCATAAAAGCTCATTAATTTTTAACAAAAAATAAGAAACATTTAAAAATTCATAGAAAAAACGAAAAATATTTGAAAATACGTACTTGCGACAGGCAGCAAATTTTGCATTGCTGCTGAAAACAGCGGAGGATTTTCTGCACGAATTTGTATGCAAAATTCCAAGCATTAATAGTTTTAATAGTTTCTTAGAATTACTTTGAAATAAAAGAAGTAAATAGTGTGGTGTCAGTAGCATATTTGCATTTATTTCTTCTGTACTAACAAAGTTGTATGTAGGAAAAAATAAGAAATAAATAAAAAAAAAACTAAATACGAAAAGTTAATCTTTCTTATTTCACTTTTCAATACGATATTCGGTTATACATCAATTTTCTTTTTATTATATTCTGAAGAAATTTTGCATAATTTGGCGGCCCAACAAACTTCTTACGGACATCTAGGGGGCTGCGGCCCCCTGTTAAGAAACACTGATATAAACAATCCTACTAACCCTGTGCAAAGCACCAACACACCAACAACTGCCATAAATCATCAGACTATAATTTGGAATATTATAATTATTAATTTTAATATGAGGTGGCACCTAATGCCTCCCTCTAGTGCCAAATTCTTCTGTAATTTATAATTATTTATTCCAAATTATAGCCCAATGATTTATCTTTCATTCTTGATTTATTTCATCAATGAATGCTGGAACTCAAGTGGTGGGTGCAATGAATAGGTTTGCAAGGAATAAAAGGATATCCAAAGAGGTACAAATGGCTGTATATGGGAGTGTTGTGGTTCTTGTGCTCTTGTATGGTAGTGAAACAGATATGGCAGGAGAGTCACATGAGTCATATCACTGCATATCAGATGATATATTTGACAGGAGTTTGTTACATAACAAGGAGGGACTATGTGAGAAATGAACAAGTGCTAGAGTGAGGTGGTTGAAAAGATGGGGAAATCAGCCTAAGAAGGTTGACAGAATGAAAGAACTGCTGAAGAAAATATACATGGGAAAAGTGGATGGGAAGTGCAGAAGGATAAAAAAGTCTTGACTGAAATAAGTGGATGAGTATCTGAAAGAATGTAAGGTGCTGAGTCAGAGAATGTCAGGAAGTATGCTAGAAGAGACCTAACTATGTCTGAAGCAAAGGAGGTGTGACTGGACAGGAAGGTATGGAGAAAGTTACAGAATGTATCGTTTGTAATATTGTAGTGTTTTTGCCTGCTGCTCACCCTTTTTGGATTATATGCATGAGGATATGTATGTATCAGTGGCATGCAATGACATTTGATGATAGGGAAGCCGTGTTTCCATAAAAATTTTAAATAAATACTGAAAATGACAAAAATAAACAGTTTATTTATTGACAAGACTTTGTCTTGTTTATAAAATCGTACTGCCGTTTTATGTTACCAGCATAGAGGTATGAAGGAGTACATGTTGAGAGTTGATATTTGGCATAGAGTATTAGGTGCCTAAATCATTTGCGCATAAAAAAATCCAGACTTGTAAGTAGTCAGGGGACCGAGAACCAAGTCAAAATAAAATACAAAATGGCGACCCTCTTCTACAAACAGGCAAAAACAGGCACCTCACCGCACCAAAATCAGGTCGGGGAGAGTACCACCCACAGTCATTCTAAGTGAACTTGCCTTAGAACTGAACACATAGTTTCTTCTATGCTAAATAAAATTTGTAATCTAATTTTGTAAACTTGGGAGTGCTTCAAATATGACGTTAAAACGGTTTTATGTCATTACAAGTGGGTTTTTTTTATCTAGTATAGTAAAATTGTGGGACTGATAAAAATTTGACGTTATATTAGGGTTGTCATTACATCCGATGATGTTATAATCGGGTTAAACTGTATATTGTTTGTGCAAAATAAAAAAATAAAATTTCGGACGATACAATAGCCACGATTATTTTTTTCAAAAACGAGAAATTTTCGTTACGCATGAACAAAAATTCAACCTGGGCTGACATGCAACGGAGAGAAATTTCGAAATTGGATAGGTTAATTTCATCGAAAATGCATTGTGGACGACCTTGTGGTCGTGGCCAGCGAAGTTTGAATGATTGTGCCCAAAAGCAGCGATAATAACAATGATTGGAGAATGAGAACAAGACCTGCCTTGAGAGTCAAAGTGATTCCACTTAGTAATCACTTTGACATAGAACAATAGTCTTCAAGACATAGTCTTGTCCCAAATACAGTTTTGCTGTTTTACTTGTTTTAATTCTAAAATAAATACATTGACATGAAACAAAGATATAAGAACTTGTTTTTATTATTTTTTTTAAACTAATTCTATTCTGCAATTTTTTCCTGCAAAGTCATTAATTACTTTATCATAAAAATCACTTGTCATTGATTCCATCAAAGTATTTAAAAGCTTAATTATTATACCTTTTTGTCCTTTTTAACTATTTATAATTTATTTTGTATACTAGTACTTTCTATATATTAACAGGACTTATTATACTGGAAAATTATGGATGCAGATATCTAGTCTTACAGTTAAAAAATAATGTTCTTTATTTAGTTCACCTGAACACATACACTACAAACATGTGTTTCGGACTTGTTCGTCCCTCCTCAGTAGGCCTTTAAACGACACTTTCTATAATTAACAATAATCAACCATAAAAACATTTTTCGGTACAATTATAACTAAAATTAAACAAAGAACATAAACATTTCCCGACAATGAATATTTAAAACTCTTACAACTTCTGTTTTTCCAAACTTCACTATATTTCCTCTTAAACTTCTGATCCACAACAACCATATGATTTTACACATTCCTAATTTTTTAAAATTAAAATCATTTTAAAACAATAAAATTTAATTATTATCTAAAATATTATTTCAATTACACTTACTTCTTTTCGATTTGTCTGTAACTACTTAATTTTATTTTCAATACATTCCTATTTCCTCTTTCATACTTTCTCATCCCTCCTTTTTATAATGCTTAACCATGATTGGTGAATCTCTCTACCATTGTTGTTATTCATTTTGTCAGTTTGTCTAATTATATTTAAATGCTCATACAGTTGTCTTTTATAATTATTTTTTTCCTTTTTTCTAATTTTTACCGTATTTAAATCTATTGCACAACCTTCCAAATTACAATGTTCCGATACTGCCGAATTTGCATATTTTCCTTTGATTGCTCTTATATGTTCACTTAATCTGATTTTTAATTTTCTTTTAGTTTCTCCTATATATGTTTTCTTAGGGTTGCAATTACAATCAAATGAATATACTATTCCTTTCTCCTCTTTTATATCATAGTTTTCTTCTTTTCCGTAACATAATTGTTTTTTAGTTGAATTTATTTTTTCCGGTATTAAGTTGATTCTATTTTTAATTACATTTTTAATTCTTTCAAATATTTTTGGAACATATCTTAATTTAATAAATTTTTTCTCTATCTATTGATTGTAGTTGTTTGTCATTGTCTAGTCTCTCTAACCATTTTTTTATTATATATTTTGGATAATTGTTTAGAATAAACATTTTAATTACTTCTTCTTCTTGTTTTTGTATTTTTATTTCACTTGTTCTTTTCCTTATTTTAGTCATATACATTTTAAATATATTGTATTTCATACTGACTGGAATCACAGATTTATAGTTAATTATTTTGGGTATTTGTATTGGTTTAACATATTTTTTATAAATTAAACTATTATTTTTTCTTTCTATAGTTATTTCTAAATAATTTATACTATTCTTTTGTTCTTTTTCCAATTTAAATTTCATATTCTCTTTTAATTTATTGGTCTTATTTATAATTATATCTTCATTTGTTTTCGTTTTATCAAAAATTAATATGCAATCATCCACATACCTGTTGTAAAATTCAATACCTTCTATATTTTTTATCTTTTCATCGATTTGTATAATTGTTATCTCTGCCAATTTAGGACCTATACATGTACCCATAGGTATTCCTTCTGTTTGGGTGTAGAATTTCTTATCGTACTGAAAATAATTATTTTTCATTACCATTAGGCATAATTTAATTATCCAATCTGATGTATTTATTTTTCATAAAGAATTTTCTATATCTTATATTGTTATGCTAGGATACATATTTACAACATCCAGTGACATCAACTTCATATTTTCATTAATTATAATATTTTTTAATTTTTTTAATAAGTCATCTACATTTTTTATACTATATTGAGAAACTTCTAATAAATTTAATTTATCCTTTAAATATTTTTCTAGATTGTAATATATGTAATTTTTAACATCTATTAAAGGTTTCTTTGTTTAATTTTAGTGATAATTGTACCGAAAAATGTTTTTATTGTTGATTATTGTTAATTATAGAAAGTGTCATTTAAAGGCCTGCTGAGAAGGGACGAACAAGTCCGAAACACATGTTTGAAGTGTATGTGTTCAGGTGAACTAAATAAAGAACATTATTTTTTAACTGTAAGACTAGATATCTGCATCCATAATTTTCCAGTATAATAAGTCCTGTTAATATATAGAAAGTACTAGTATACAAAATAAATTATAAATATTTAAAAGCTCTTTTTCTATTGAAAGCAATGCTAGTGATGATAATCTTTCCTCTGATCCTAGTGAATGTATGAATTTGCTTCTTGGTTGAAAAACTGCGCTCAACTGATGCAAACATAGATGGTACCGCAAAAATTAATGATATTAAATCATATAATTCTTTCAGTACATCTTTGTTCAAATAGTAATTAACTGTAATATTTTGTATATCTAAGAGTGACTTGCCAATACATGAATATAAATATTGCAATTCCCTACATAATTTAGATAAATGAAAAAATTTTCTGCAAAATTTACATAAAGAATTAAAACTAGCTTCAGAAAATTGTTTTTCAAAATATTTAAAATTATTAACATCTTAAAGTGATAAAAATTCTAAAGATTTTATGTCTGAAAATCTGTCAATACAATTTTATATCAATATATCCATTATTTCATAAAACAGACATTTATATAACTTATTTTTAGACCCAATATCAGTATGTCTCATTTGTTCTTTTGACTGAATTTCTGAAAAATTTTCATCTTTTTCCTAAGCATCCCAAATCAAATCAAAATCATTTCAATCATTTCTTTTCTGTCATGAAAAGTCAATAAAAAGTCATTTATTCTAGTAATACAATATCTGACTGTGCAAATATTTGATAAAAAACTAATAATAAAAAGTGGAAATCAAAATCTATTAAACAATGGTACAATCCTCTTGCAGCAATTGTAGTATCAGAATCCCATTGTTCTGGATTTTCAACCATATTCAACAACAAAAGTTTTAATTGTTGTTTATACTCCATAGCGCAGTTCACAATCCTGCTATTGTAATTCCATCTAATGAATGAAGGAAAACGTTTTTTGACTTGTAGGTCCAAGGCATGAGATCTTTTAGAAGATTTAGAATAAAAAAATGAAGAAAATCATGTCATAGTTTGAAAACATATTTTATGTTCTTTTATATATCCAACAGATTGAGCATAACAGTGTACGAAAATAGCATGTTTTCATATTTCTTTAATTTTGGCTTGGACACCTTTCTGTTGCTCAGTCATTATGGCAGCACTGTCATATGTTTGTGCCACTAATTTTTTAGTGCATTGAAATTTGTCTAACTCTTAATGTGAGTAAATAACGAATTTGTCTCTATTCTCACTCACAACAGTAAAGCCCACAAATCTTTCTTCAACATTATCATTTTCTTTCATGTAATGAAATACAGTTGACATCTGAGCTCTGTGGCTGATGTTGGTTGTTTTGTCTACAATTATAGCAACAAATTTTGTGTTTTCAATTTCCTTTTTAATTTCTTGCAATGAAACATTTCCTAACAATTTAACAAGATCATATGAATTCTGTTCGATAAGCCAGTAAAAACTGTAGACTTCTCTAAATGTATTTTTAATTGATTATCTGACAAACTTAATAAATAAACAAGTTAAATATAATTACCTCTGTTATTAGATTCAACAGATTCCCTATGCCCTCTAAATGCCTATTCTTGCTTGATAAAAAACATAAAATCTATTAATTTAGATATACAGTAAATCGCATATAAAACGGGTTCGTATAATATGGATTCATATATAACGACAAAAAATTGCGATTGTATTCGTATAAACATGCTAAAGATACTCATATAATATGGTAAAATGTCATTGCCGACTCGTGTCATGACAGGATTGATCACATCTAGACCAATAGCGGATATTGCACAAACCGTTGAGTTTAAATGAGCACTAAATCTACTAAAAAACATTTATTATTCTATGGCCATAAAAATTATATTTTTATTAATGATGTATCCAAAGTTCAGCAAATTTTTCACAGAAAAATAACTTATCAGAAAACATGTGCCCGCTGTTTGATGTGCCACTCCATGATGAAAACAAGCTTAAGCAATGGCATTGTCAAATGGTGCACACTCAGTAAGTAATCCTACAATTTTTTGTTTATAGCATAGATTATATGGATTATTCCCAAAAAATTATACGTGTTTTGGAAATGTTGAGTCAAATTAGTCTAGAATCAATTAATTTTATGGAAGAAAACCTTTCAAATAGTTGTAGTCCATAAACTCCATAACATGCGCTGTGATTGGCTCGTGTATTTAAGGACTTGTACAACATGAATTTCATAAAATATGGAACGCATCTACCGTGTTATAAGGGGGATCTACTGTAATATATCTATTAGCCGTAACTATCTCATTATAATTTTCAATATTTATTTTGTATTGTTTACAAATTTTATTTTGTTTTGTATTGTTTTTGTATTGTAATGTTAAATTCTATTCTGCTTTGATTTCCAAATTGCTTCATTTTACAAAAGAATCAATGCGACATTTATTATTTTCGTGTCTTTTGCCAACTTTACTTAAATTATTTAAATCATCAAAGCCATTCTTATTCCACACACTAATTTCATTTGAAAATAGTAGGCAAGGCCAACAAAATAATTTTTGCATTTTTATGCATCCACAAAGCCATTTTGTCTTCATAAATTTTATCGTAAAAATGTTGAACAAATTTTTTTGTTGAAGTATTTATATTTAATTTAGGTATTGGTCTTTCACTTTTAATAATGTTTTCTTTTTCATTATATGGTCTTGAGCCAAAACTTTTTAAAAATTTTCAATATCACAATTACATTCTGAATCGCTAGCCATGATATAAGGGCTAAAATTAAAAATAAAATTATAAAAACTTACTCAGTGAAATAAAATGTGTGATGGATATACATACCTGGTACAAAATAGTCTTCAATTGTATAAATATACTTTTAAAGAAAATTGTAATTAAATATAGCTTTGTAAAAAAACATACATAAAAATAACAAAATATTCTTTACTTTTTAAATCTTAAAACAATCCACTTAGTCAAATAGCTCCCTACAAGTGGCTAATGGATAGAATCATTGGAAGTGTTATACAATATTTTGATGTGTAGCATCTATAAGCTAAACCACGTGACGTTGATGTTCTGTAAAGCACATGCACGAATGCATGTAATCTGGCTGCTTTACATGATTCAAATATTTTTGCCATGGAAGCTATCCCATATTCGACAATACAGCACTTCCATTGGAAATATGCATATACAAATTTATATTCAAATATACAATAGCAATCTTATCATTGTTTTTCACATGTAATATAGAAATTTGTAACAAGATACATAATGCACTTATAATAAAATATTAATTTTAATTAATTCAAAGTACATTAAAATATGAAAATAATCACACATGTATTTATATTTTATAAAATACAAGAAAAATGGTGCTTCCACAGCTTCCATGGACTGCAAGCCACTGCTGGATGATAGAAACATGTGCCTCACTCAGTCATGCCATTGCTTTAGCAAGTTGCATTTCTTCATGTTAGCGAGTTAAGAGTAGTTGTACACAACAATATACAAATCCTTCCTAGCAGAGAGTACAATGCACAGTTTATGTTGACACATCCAGATCATAGTTTTCTTTGATCTTATGTGAAATTGCTCATTCATTTTGTCTATTAATCCAGCAAACTTCTTTCTTGATTCTTGTTTTATGCTTTTGTGTTAACCTTTTTCACTCCTTGTTTGTTTTTGTTTGTTGTAATCATTATGTATAGTACAGTACAATGTACTAGCCAATACACTGAACTCACTGGCATATCCATTGTATAAGTAATTTGGCAAATCCCATTCTTCTGAAATAGTTCCTTCACCCTTTCAATAATTGTCTTTAGAATACATCTCCAACCACTTAAGTAGATTACTGTTACTACTTCTATGGAAATACAACACACATTCAAGGTATTTATATCTACTTCATTTGAATTATTTTTGCACATTTGTCAAATGTGTACACAGTTATGTCAGGGAACATGTATTTTTCTGCTGCCCCAAAAGAGAATGCATATATTCAAAATGTGTTTACAATCTTGTTTGCCATTAAGTATAACATCATAATAAAATATATTTCAGTTTTCAATATGTATGTTTTGTGAAAACAGCATTCATTAAAAATGTATCCAGCACTCTAAGTCAAATATAAACAAATACATATATTTTAAAAAACTTTATATTACTTAATATATAGCCTATATTTTTTATAATTAAAAAAAAACAGATAATTATTATTAAAAAATGATGCTGTCAGTAATGTGCTTGCAAATTATTACACCTGCATAAATAATTGCCAAATTTGATTAAATAGAATTTCAAACTAAAAACATATTCAAAAGTTACATAAACAAATCAGATGTCTTATAAATTATTCATATTCTGTGTTAGTAATGAATTGTATACAATTGTTTTCTTTATATTTTTTTCTTTTGTAACTGTACAATATTTCACGAATGATTTGTTAATTTGAAATAAACTAATCTGTTTTTCTGGGACAAGCTATTTATCATCTTACATAACAGAATAAAAAGAGATTTTTATCTACTTTACTATGTTTTAGGCTTTGCCTAATTTTACACATTTATGATTATATAGAGTTCTATTCAATTACAAAGATCTAAACTTATGT